ACCTGTTTAGAGGCACTCTGAATCCAGTGGCGTAGTGATTTTTTCAATAAAAAAATCGCTAATGAAAAATCCCGATTTTCGACTAAGAAAAAATATCGTAGTATGCCCTGAAACTTTAATAAACATTTCAAATTTTGTCCCAAGGTAGACCTTTTAGTACTTGACATTTCCAAAAAAATTATTAAAATAGATTTACAACTTCAAATTTTGGGGGGGTGTTACCATTAAAAATGGGTCACATTGTATAATTTACAATTTAGTACAAATCAACCCACCTTTGAAACATCCACATTTGTTCTCTAACTTGTAACAACACAACTGCTACCAACATTCTGCAATATTTTTTACCAAAGCGTCCTGACATTGCATTCGATTGTTTATTAAGCCTAGGATGGAAAAAATACACACAAACACAGCTGATGTTTTTACATTTCTGATTTGAACTCTCCAAAATAGAATTGAACTTCAAATGTGGCACAAATAGAAGTCATGTGTTTCAAAACTAGGCGTAAAAAATGCTTGTAACTGTTTACCCATGTCTCATTATCAATAATGAAACGAAATAATACCAAAATTACAGGTAGCAGTATCGATTAAAATGTATAGACTATGCATTTGGAGGAATGTTGGCTTAAACGACTGGCGTCATTATTTTGGTTGGTTTCCGGCTTTTGTCGGGGTCTTTTTTGGTTAAAATCTTGAATTGTTTCAACTGCAACCGCGGCAGTCATTTTCAGATATTTTACTTATACCTCTGGAATTGCTCAAAAATACCTTTGGCTGCTTAGGCTGAGTATGAACTCTCTCTTGATTTAATTTTCGTTTCAATAACTTCAGTTACTCGAGATTTTTTAAATTCTGAGTAACTCTGCTCTATCCAAATTGTTATATTTTTTTGGAAACTGATTATATGTTCAATCTATAAATTTGCAAATTGTTGGTATCAAATCCACTGTAGATTGTGGATATTTTCAGTGGGAATTGAATATATTTCATTCAGAAACACTGATATTTCGTTGGAGGTAACTATAATCAATTATATAGAAAAGAGACAACAATTCAACATCGGAAAAAACAGTTCCCATGAACTTCAAAGAAAAACTGAGAGTTTTCGTTTTCTAAAAATGTCTTTCCAAGATAATTGACGGATATTCTTGATCTGAAGGCAATGTCTTTCATTATCCACTCAAATATATCAAACATTCATAAAATTCAACGAATAACAAGAACGTTTTCCTTCCGATTGAGTGCTATCGCTATAAAGTAACACCCTGTATATCTAATGAAATTGCTTTGTGAAAATATGTAACCTAATAAAAGCTGACTTCAGTCAAATATTCATTTAGAAATTTTGGAAAAAGTATAAGTGATTTTTCAATTTTTTTTCCAGAAATATCACTGGCTCATGTTGAAATATTCAAAGAGGAATCTGAACAGGAAACTCAAACAGGAAATACTCATCAAGACAATCCATCCAGAAAAGGAAATTCCTCTTGAAGAAGTTCTTGGTTTTTCGATACATTCTCAACAGTTCACTTTTTTATTCTGAACATGTTTTTGATTAAGTATAGTTACCAAAGAGAATCCTTGTTTCAATACGAAAATTTCAAATGCGCCTTTCCCGGGTAATATTACAGGCTACTGCCATAATTAATACTGAAATTCAGCCGTTAGATGCGCTGATGCTGCAAAACATCGCTTCGGTTCTTTTGGGAAGTGTTTCGCAATGATGAACCTAACCTCGAAATTTTTGTATCAGCTTGATGCGACCTGTTGAATTGTAAAGTATCCCGTCCAGTAGTAGTGATTTAGTGTGTCGATAATTTAAAATGTCACAATGGGGGGAGATAGCAGGAAGACATTCTGATAGCACACATAATCAACAGGTGAGTTTTCAATTTGAACGTAACCGTTAACGGTGGAGAAAATATTCGAACATAAAGTTTGCGTTTTTCTGCAGGGTTTGATTTTGATATCAATAGCAATGGAATGGCGCATTTTGCAGATAACTTTGGTAAACTACCCATTGTTCGTATTTTCGATCTTCCCCTATTTTTTTTGTTGAATTTGACTGTTGTTTACAACATTTCTGGCTTGACAACACGGCTGATGCATCATATAACGTTTTCTTTGAAGCTGTCTTTTAACAATAATTTCTGTTTTTTTTAACATGTGAATCACCACAGTAACAACTGTAACGAACTGAAGAGGAAGAGTATGACATAAGCAGTGGCGCTCCTAAACATTCATTTCCGGGGGTGCTGAATTAACAAAAAGTTTAC